TGCCAGCTCTGGTGTATGTGGCTGGTGTCTTAGTTGCTTGAGCCACAGGCACTGAGCCTCCAGTTCTATTTTCTGAAAGAGTTCATAGAGAGGTGTTATTTCCTTAAATGTTTGATAGCATTCACCAGCAAAGACTGTCTGGGTTTGGAATTTTATTTATTTATTTATTTTTTTGAGAGGGGAGATTTTAAATTATAAATTTCATAACTTTAATAGATTTATAGTTATTTTGATTTTCTTTTACTTATTAAGTCAATGACTTGTAACTTTCAAGGAATATGCCATTTCACTTACACTGCCAAATTTATTTAATGTTTAATGTTATTTATAACAATGTTCTGTTGTTTTATTAATGTTTGAAGGATCTGTAGTGATACCATCTTTCACTCTTGACTATGGTAATTTGTGTCTTTCCTTCTTTTTTTTCTTATTCATTCTAACTTAAGGTTTATCAATTTTATTAATCTTTTCAAAGAATCAGATTTTTGTTTCATTGATTTTTTTGTTGTTTGGGCCTTCTTTTTCATTGATTTATTTTCTTCTGTTCCTTATCATTTGCTTTTCTATCTTTTAAAATCGGCTCTTTTATAGATTCTTAACTTGGAAGCTTAGAACACTAGTTCTTAGACCTTTCTGCACATGTCCTACTAAACACTACTTTTACCACTTTTCAGAATTTGGATATGTTCTATTTTCATTCAATTTTTAAAATTTTCTATTTCTTTTGTCACCTCTATAATTCATGAGTTATTTAGAAGCATGCCATTTATTTTCCAAATATCTGGAGATTTTTCTGGATAACTTCTGTTGTTGGTTTTACGGTTTTTTGATGTTTTGATAGCCTACCCCGATGCTTTCTGTTCTTTTTCATTTATTGAAATGTGCTTTGTGGACTGTTGCATGGTCTGTCTTAGTGATGTTCCACATGCAACTGAAAAAAAAGTCTATTTGCTTGTCGTTTTGCCAAGTCCATTAAGTCAAATTATTTGTTAACATTTTCAAGTCTTCTATATCTTTACTGATTTTTCGCTCAACTTGTATTTGAGAAAGAAATGTTGATATTGTAAGTGTGGGTTTGTTAATTCTGTGAGTTCTATCAGTTCATGCTTTGTATATTTTACTCTATGATTGGGTTCACAAGCATTAAGAATTATAATATTTTGATACATTATCCTCTTTGTGTCATTGTAAGTCATGGAAGGTAGTATTCTTTCCTTCCTCTGGAAGAGTTCCCTTTATATTTCTTGTAGTGCATATCTGCCAGAAACCCTTACACAGACTGCTAGAGCTCCTTATCCATAAATACCCCAGCACTGCCAGCTACCTCGATCTTCATGAATGTTGATCTCCATCTGCTCATACCAGGAAAGCCACCAGACTTTGTTTAAATTTCTTCTCCATGTGTTTGTGGCCCTTAGATTGTCTCAAGGCAGAAGGCAGGGTGATCACAGGGCTGGAATAATTTGTTTCCCTTCTTTCTGGTGTCCCATCGTCCTGTGCTATCTGTTACCCAATGTCTGAATCCAGTTGTTTAATATATTTGTCCAATTTTCTTATTTATGGGAGTAGGCTACGTTCTTTTTACCACATCATGCCTGAGAGACCTCTATTCAAGGATTTTTTAAGAAAAGCATTAGAAATGTTGAAATAAAATAATTATAAATTGCACTATTTTGCTCATACAGATAATGTGCTAATAGACCTTTTACAAATGTGTAAAGTGGGGCAATTATGAAAATTTAATGATCTTTATAAGATATACAAACTTAAGTAAATTGTGAATTCTATTTTATAAAAATTCATAAGGATAAAAATAATTTAAATTATAGAATTAGTTAAATTTTAATAATCAACCAGGCAAGATTGATGCTAAATATTATAAAGTTGATTTATGGATATGTAGAATTTTGTATTTCTTTTTGATGCAATTCTATGTTTCCAAGATAAAGAGTTGTTGAATTTGAAATCTTATAAATAATTTTTCACAAATGCGCCTACATTATTTACTTTATATGATATATTAATCCTACTTTTCTTAAAAATTTATAATTTTTAATGTTCTTCTGATCCCTTATAACACAAACAGTTATTGCCAGCTCAACTCATGTTTATTTTAATGTCACTCTATAAAAGAAATCATGAAATATGCAATTCAAATTAGAGATATTCTCAAGATTGTTGAATGTTAAATAATTTAAATGTCATTCCGTTGTTTAAAGTAAGACTTGAAAAATTTATGAGAAAAATTCAGGGAAACACAGAAGAGTAACATTGTGTATGAACTTTCTCTGTTTTCTATACACACATGTATTTATTACAGCATGTGTAACCATCGATTTATTTGGCTTTTTGCTACTAGACTATGAGCTCCTTGGAGGCATGGATTTTTCTTTCTTTGTCATTATCCACTATTTACTTGGTGTCTCGTCTGTGACAGCCATTTGATAAATATTTATGGATGAAAAAAAATGGAGTTGAATTTTTAAAGCAAAAACCCAATATGGCTTCTCATTTCTATTTTAAAGATGCTACAAAGGAATCGAGTGTGAAATTTCCTTTAAGAAAAATACATTTAATCTTCCATCATTGAACTAATGTACTAGCATCTATGATTGACTAAGCTCTCCTTACTTACCTACATGTTATTTTATCATTTCAAAATAGGAAGTGAAGGCTCATTTCTTGTGAAAAAGAAATCAAATTCAATTAGTGTAGGAGAATTTTACCGAGACCATGCGTTGCAACGTTGCTCTCCAAATTTGCAAAGACATTCTAATTCTCTGGTAAGTTAAATTAGGATTATGTTCTCTGTTTTGCTGCTGATACTCTCTTGATAACTGAAATTTGTGCTGTAGCTAGGAGTGGTTGGTAAAAAATTCCTGGATGTATGAAAACTACTATTGCATAAAACTATATACATGCAACTATTACAAATATATGTAAACACATTTGACATAAATTATGTGGCATTCACATTTGTAGACCTTTGAGCATGCTCAGTAAGAATCTGGGGCTGGTATATACTGGTTAAATAAACTTCACCATGGTTTCTCCATTCTTTTCAGAGCACTGTGTCTGAAAAGAGCCCAGGCTAGGTCTGTACCTAATGGTGTGTGGTGGTCTTATGAAGACTTTGGCTAGAAATCTTAGAGTAATTTCTCAGCGACCAGTTAGGAGTCTGAAGGAAAATGAGCAAGATGGAACAGCATAGTAACTTTGTTCATCAAAACATATTTTTGTGTATCATTTAATTTCTAGAAACCATTATTATTTCAATCTCTCGTATGTTTAGGAAATAGGGAGGACTCTGGCATATTAATTATATACATGAGGAGTTTGGTAATTCTAATTGGGGAAATTGGGAGCCACTGCATTTTCAGGTTCACTTTGAAACATCTGTGCTAACCTATGCTTTAATGTTGGTCAGAATTCAGTCCTTAAAAATATGAGTTATTTTATGTTAATTCTAGATCCTAAAATGGGCAAAAGGAATGACTATAAAGTGAATAAAGTAGGTCTCAGTCTTTATGTTTGCCTGTTCTAATTTATATAAACAGCTTCGTTAGAAAAGTAGTTCATGAAATTGTACATATACAGCTTTTCGAATCAACCTCTCTGCTTTTCAGTTTCTTTATATTTCAAACTAAGGAGAAAAGGCAAATACTTCTCAGGCCATTTGGGCACGAAAATGAATTGTTTTCTTCTATCTTCATGATTGTGTTCTTAGTTTGTACTTGCTCCCCCCATAATTTACTACTCATTTTCATTAAAATTTCATGGTTGTTTCTTTATAAAAATGTCCTCTTCTCCAGAAATTAAAAAAAGAGAGCAATTTTATTATCCACATCATTGTTTGTTTAATAGGGGCCTGTTTTTGATAATGAAGATTTACTGAGGCGCAAAAGAAAAATACTGTCTTCAGATGATTCACTCAGTAAGTATTTGGAAGTAATCATAAGTAGATAGATATTCTGGGCAGGGTACAATGCTTTTTGTTAAACTTCCTTTAATTGTTCAAATTTTCTTGGTGCCAATTTCATTTTACATAATCTTTGTATGTATTTAATGATATCACAGACTATCGAAAAATAAATAAAATATAGATTTAAAAATTACCTTTTATGAATATTATGGACACTTTGATCATTTTATGAGTTCTCTGAAATGTAAGTACATGGGACTGCCCCCACCCGATGCTACTCTTCACCCTTTCCTCTGTGGGTTTTCTTTTTTAATACCACTCGTACCAGCTGATTACATATTTTTAATTTACCGTTCATTTCTGCTCATGGAATGAAAGCTCCATAGTTTGGTTTCTACTGAAACATCAGTGTCTTAAGATAACTTGATGCTAGTAGGTGCTCAGTAAATATTTACCAAGTGAATTAATTTAAATTAACAATTTAACTTGCTTGTTTTTCCATTGTGTGTTTATTTTTGGCAACAGGGTCATCAAAACTTCAATCTCATATGAGACAATCAGACAGCATGTCTTCCCTGGCTTCTGAGAGAGAATATATCACATCACTAGACCTTTCAGCGAATGAACTAAGAGATATTGATGCCCTAAGCCACAAGTGCTGTCTAAGTGGTCATTTGGAGCATCTTGAAAAGCTGGAGCTTCACCAGAATGCACTCGCAAGCTTTCCGCCACAGCTGTGTGAAGTAAGCTTAATTCATCCTTGTAACTTTCAGTACATTTGAAGAGCTTTTGCATTTGTATCTAACTTGAATGGCTGAATCTTTCAAAAGAGGGTTCTATTTTTGTGCCATTGGAGAATAATTTCCCTCAGTCCTCTGGTTTTTGTATAGGTATCTTAGTCTCTTTGGAAACATCTTTGAGGGCAGGTAATGGAAAGAGAGATCTGATTAGAAAAAAATTCTAGATTTTGTCTTGATACCTGTTAAAGCCTTTGAAGGCTATATTGATGATGACTTTGGTTCTTTAATTTTAGTAAGCAACTTAAACTATTTAAATTAAATTAAGTGGGCTAGAATGTGAGCTGGTTTGGTAATACTGGCTCTGAATTATCTACCAGCTGTGTGACAATAAGAACTTGTCACTCTGCCCATTGTAAGACTTTATTTTCTCATCGGGAAAATACAGAGATTCAACTGAATGATCACTGTGGCAATTTTTTTGTTGCGTTTTAAAATTAAACTTAAAGGTTGATTTTTTTCCTCCAAGTTTCTATCTCGTAATAATCAAAGTGTAATATAGTTTGTTAATAGTGAATATGTAGTATGGATATGAATAGTTTTTAAAGCCAAATAAGATATTATGACAAATTAAAATGATCTTAATACAAATCTTTAAAATTTTCAGCTAAATTCTTAGACTGAATTGTAAAGTGTGATAAAGAATTATACCTGCCTTTTAAAAAAATAGTTTTCTGGCAAATATGTTTTCTTTTTCTAATCTATAAACTGTCACCATTTTGAGATTTGTAAAAGCAATGTTACATAAATTTTAAGTGTATTTAAAATTTCCCTAAAGTTCTCCCTAGAGACAGAAGAAAACAAGGTGATGTCCTCTCCATCCCCATTCTAATGTCTAAAGCTTGTCCTCTTTCTCTCTCTTCTACCTCTTTGCCTGGCTAACTCCTTACGGTCACTCAGCTCTCAGTTTATTTTTTATTTCATTCTATTCTGTTTATTGAGGCAGAGTCCTGCTGTGTCATCTTGGCTGGAGTACAATGGGACGATCATAGTTCATTACAACCTTGAACCCCCACTTAAGCTTTGAAAGTGCTGAGACTATAGGTGCACACTACCATGCCCACAGTGTCTTTTTTTTTTTTTTTTTTTCATTTTATGTAGAGAGAAGGTCTCACTATGTTGCCCCACCTGTTCCCAAACTCCTAGCCCAGAGCCATCCCCCAGCCTCGGCCACTCAAAGTGCTGGGATTGCATGCATGAGCTACTTGCACCTGGCCGAAGTCTCAGTTTCAATGTCATACCCTCACCTTAATAAGCCTCTGTAATCAAATATCTGCCAAGATGACAGCAGGACTCTTCTCTCCTTCTACCCTCCAGCTGACCTATTCACCTGTTTTATGTGTGCATCGCACCTAATGTCTTTCCCCCGATTCTCATTCACTCATAAAATTGGATTTAATGTACATTGCCCTCAGTAAACTGTGAACTCCATGAGGATAGGAATTGCTTCAGCCTAGGAAGATCTGATGTACAGTGGAGGCTCAGTAGATACTTCATTGAATTAATTTGGTAGAAATTGATGGCTGACGCTTGGTAAGCCTTCAATAAATATTTGTTAAATGAGTAAGTAGAAGAATTATAGAATTTGATATGGCTAAGACAACGAGAATTTGAAGAGACTACAACAAAATGAAATACACAAGCGTTAGGGCATTTGCTCGATGAGTAGACCAGTTCAGAACGTTTTCATAGGGAAATTTCAAAACCACATCACTAGATGGCACTTTTTTGTTACTGCCTGAAGGGTCTCAATTGTTCATTCAACAAGAAAATTTTCTGATTAAACCTTAGAAAGAAATAATTTCAAAATCTTTCCTTCTGAATAAGTTAGTGGGGTCTGACATAAAGGTAGGAGTTTTGAAACAACTTTTGAGGTGAAGAGTCATTAATAAACCTCTGTAATCAACATCAAACTTTTTAGAGTTCCTTGTGAGAATGAATATACTGATAAAGGGGGGATAGAGAAGAGATTGTTTTTGGTATTTTAGCCCTTGGACAGCAATGCATACCAAAGATTTAAAAAATTGATGTGACATGTAGATGGAGGTGTGCTATTATCATTGTAAAATCAGAAATTGCTTAAAAATAAAAAAATGGAGATATCAAACCAAAAGTTCCCTAAAAGGGGGGAGGTTCTGGCTGGGCATAGTGGCTCATGCCTGTAATCTTAGGAAGCTGACATAGGAGGATCACTTGAGCTAGAAGTTCGAGAACAGCTTGAACAACATAATAAGACCCCAAATTATTTGTCAGTGGTGGTGAGCTCCTGTAGTCTCCGCTGTATAGGAGGCTGAGGCAGGAGGATTGCTTGAGCCCAGTAATTTGAGGTTTCCGTAAGCTATGATGGTGCCACTGCACTCTAGCCTGGGCCACAGAGTGAGACCCTGTCTCAAAGAAACAAAGAGGTTCTAAAATGAAGCATGTGTCATATGTGGCTACTTTTAACAATAAATCTCATATATATTAAAATGTGAAGCAATTTCTAAAAGGGTGTTTAACAGTATATGCTCAGGATTATATTATACTGCTTATCATTTAATTATTACATCAAATAGTTGTTGAGGCCTATTTTGCTTCCATTTTGCTTTTATTCTGAAATGGTTTACAAAAAATCTGACCTACACTCTAACCCTTATTTTTGTGTGCTGGCTTCTGGCAGTCTGCATATTGTATTTTTCCTAGTTCTACTCATGAGATTGCAGAGATGGTTGGGCTAGCCAGTTCACTGAAATCCTGTTGTGGATTGTATTAACAATAGTTTTGAAAATCCTTGGCAGTTTTAGTTATCAGAGGTATGGGAGACAGAAATGTTAGCTAGACTTAGGTTTCTTAGATCATCCATTTGAGAATTTTAAAACATTGTCTTTTCAGACTCTCAAGTGTTTGACACATTTGGACTTGCACAGTAATAAATTTACATCATTCCCCTCTTACCTGTTGAAAATGAATTGTATCACCAACCTGGATGTCTCTCGAAATGATATTGGACCCTCAGTGGTTTTAGATCCTGCCGTGAAATGTTCAACCCTGAAGCAATTTAACCTGTCATATAACCAACTGTCTTCTGTTCCTGAAAACCTTGCCGACGTGATAGAGAAACTGGAACTGCTCGTTTTAGAAGGGTAAGAAAGGATTCATTAAAGACGGAAGGGTTTCTTAAATATGTCACGGTTGATAAAATCTGCTAACATTTCTATGACAATGCATTTGAAATAAAAATATTATGAGAGACTGGGGCAATTAATATTACTTCTATCAATTAACCTAAATTTTTACAACTAATTATAAAATTAATAACTCTTCAATGCTATTCTTTAAAAACAAATTATTTTGATATTTTTTTCTTTAAAGCATGTAAGTTTATACCTTTAATCCTCTGGTTTTATCTCTTGTGATAGAAATAAAATATCAGAGATTAGTTCTCCCTTGAGCCTGAAGGAACTGAAGATTTTAAACCTTAATAAAAACCACATTTCATCCCTATCAGAGAACTTTCTTGAAGCTTGTCCTAAAGTGGAGAGTTTCAGTGCCAGAATGAATTTTCTTGGTAAGTGTTCCCTATAGGTGACCTCCTAACTGGGTCCATACAAGATGAGCCACGTATCATCATTTGAGATGGGGATTTAAAGGTGGTGTTGTAGTTTAAATGTTATGCTGGAGTTTTCAAAATGACATTAGCAGGTTGGCAATAAAAAGAAAGGCTATCAAATCATGAAAAGCCATGGGGGAACTTAAATGCTTTTTGTGATGTGAAAGAAACCAATCTGAAAAGGCTACATACGTTTGATTCCAACAGTACGATGTTCTAGAAAAGACAAAAGCATGGGGACATTAAAAAGATCAGTGACTGCCGGAGTTTAGTGGGGAGAGAGAGATGAATAGGCAGAGCTCAGAGGAGTTTGGGGGCATTGAAACTATTCTGTATGATACTACGATGGTTCATTCATGTCATTATACCTTTGTCAAAACCCATGGAATGTACAACATAAGGAGTGAGCCGTGGACTTTAGGTGACAATATTGGCTCGTCAATGGTAACGTGCCAATCTAATGTTTGTAAGAAGTTAATAATGGGGGACGCTGTGTGGGGAGGTGACAGTGAGGGGAGAAGGGGTGTAGGGGGACTCTGCACTTTTAGTCTGTTAAAAATGCATACAGTTGTCTGAGCTGGGTGAAGCCTCTATACTGAATGATGAGTATCATGCTGAAGTTCCTTCAGCTATTTTTTTTGTACTGTATGTGCAAATACTATTATTGCTATTGTTTTAAGAGGTAAAATTAATCATTAAACTGTTTTAAAATTAGTAAATTTAACGTGTATTCATTCTTTGCTTGCTATTTGCAAGATATACGTATTCCAATAATACACAAGATGGTCATCACTTTCATGGAAAGTTATGGAATACCCTAAGTTGTCTTAGCGTGTGAGATGATGCAGGGAGTTAAGCTCATTTGCCACCTATCTGAATATTTCAACATTAAGGAACAGAATACTTTTGTGGTAATAAATACAGATTCCCTGTTTTTATTTCACTTAATAGAAACCTGACTCAGTAAAATAATTTTTTGTACTGTTTTATAGCTAGAACACAGTTTGCCTACCTATTTAAAAGATTGTAATTTTTCAGAACTTTCAGAAACTAATCATGATAAAACCATGTTAATTTGCATAGTGTCATTCTCCTTTTACTCTCCTTCCTTTTCTCCGACCCTCCTGAAGATGGACCATGTTCTTACCATGAGCTTAAAATTGGAGATAGAGTGATTCACTTACTAGTGAGCAAAGCCAAGCCTGTCTCTGTCCTTAAGGAATTGTAATTAAGTTCAGAAGACAGACAAGCATGAAATGATGATGGCATAAATAAATGTAATTCTGTTTTGTACTAAATGCCGTGGAAAAGTTTCAGGATGCTGGGAGGGGGCTTGGATTCAGACTTTGGAGTCAGGGATGTCATGCCTGGAATATTTAAGTTGGCTCTAGAAGGAAGAACATCCCAAAGGACCTTCAGGCTTGTTCATGGTCAATGTGCCAGTTGAATCTCACAAAAAATCCTTCAGGGTGGGATAAGTATGACCTCTACCTAACTGAGGAAATGGAAGCACTGAGATTTTTGTGTAACATGATAAGGGGAATGCCATTAATTAACTAGGTGTAAAAGTTTTGATATACCTTAGCTCAAAAGTCCATTTATTTTGCACTATCCAACCTCAATGGTTTGAGAAGTGATCTTGCATTTCAGAAGACATCCCATGGAGGTGACATTTGAGCAGGACCACTAACTATGAAAAATAATCTCATGGGAAATAAGGTTTCACTTCTTTCATCTTATGAATGTTTTCCATATAACATCTGGACCTCAAAACTGTTGATTCTTAAGGGGAGAATCATTTATTTTGCCAGTAGCTGAGGTATAATATGTGGCTCTCTCCTTCTCAGGAAGACAGCTTCTAGCCATGTCCCGGAACATTTTGACCCTTTGAGCAAATTTCCTATAGAAAGCATGGCCCACATTTTTGACCTTGAAAATGCTAAGAGATCATTTTTCAAGCCACATTCAGAGGATCATAGATTTGTAGATTTCTAAAGAATCTCAGAGTTCATTTGGTTTAGCTATACTATTTTATGGATGGAAAGAACAAGGCTATAGGAGTTGCTTAGCTTTCCGAGTTGTGTTCAACAGAATTTTATTCCTTGGAGGAACCTCAGATTGTAGTTCTGTAGTTCTGAGAACCTCAGATCTGTAGTTCTCAGATTGAAAAATTCATAAAACATGCCAGAACATTGTGAACTTTTGATATTTTACTTTATTTTATTGGGCACTCTGAGGCATTTTACTTTATTTCTCTATCTATGGTCATATGATTAAAGAATACTTTTATTAACATCCATTATTATCCCATAGAACACTCTATGAAATAGGACCTATGAAATAGGTCCTATGAAATAGGACCATAAAGAATTTGTAATCTTATACTACATTGTAAATTAATAAAGTGTTTCAAAGGGATTTGTTGTAGTGAGTTAGAGCAGTAATTTGAGTTAAGCTAGACTATATCTTAAATAATAACATCACATGTAATTTGAAATGAATATTCTAATAATTTTTGCTTTGTACAAATGTTGGGTAAATATACTTAGATAATTATTCAGCTTTCATACTAAAAGAGTTTGATAAATATGGCATGCTGTTTTATTGCTTGGTGGCAATATTGAGGATACAACCGATTTTTAAAAGTTGACTTTTAAAGTATTTTCGGAATGAAATTAAGTGGCATATCATTTGTAGCTGCTCTTATTTTTGAATTTAATGGACATCTAGTTGACTCTAGATAACAATGATTAAAATGTCTGTCTCATCTTTATCTTCTTCAAGCTGCCATGCCTTTCTTGCCTTCTTCCATGACAAGCTTAAAATTATCTCAAAACAAATTTACGTGTGTTCCAGAAGCAATTTTAAACCTTCCACAGTAAGTTTATCATTATTTTAATTTTGAAACCATGTGAGCTACAACGGAATCTTTAGAAAGATGGTTCTATTTGGGGCATATAAAAGTGATTGATTTCTAAACCTATTCAGCTTAATGTTTTTTAATATATAAATATTTGATTTTCACTAGACAAAAAATCTAACTCATTAGTTGGACTTTAAAGCTTTATATTAATTTAGTGGGCTGTTGTAGAGAAACACGTTAAGATCATTTAATTAATTACTGCATCATTGTAACTTTACAACTTTAATTGCTCTCAGAGATTGATATGTTGCCAAAATACTATTAGCTTTGAAATTATGCTTAAATTATATTTGTGTGAAACTTTTGATGAAACTTAAGATGATTTATGTAGTTCCAGGTTTTAGGGGATTTGGGGTAATTTCATGAAAAGCAAAAGCTTCCTATTTAGGAATCAATGAAATTTTGATGTGCTGTCATCTTCAATACTATTTTTTGTTTGTTTGTTTAGTTTTTGTTTTTTAGAGACAGGATCTCACTGTGTTGCCCAGGATAGAGTTCAGTGGCATGATCGTAGCTCAGCCTCAAACTCCTAAGCGTAAGAGTTCCACCCATCTCAGCCTCCTGAATGGCTGGGACTACAGGTGCTTGCCACCAGGCCCAGCTAATTTTTCTTATTTCTCATAGAGAACAGCATCTTGCTATATTACTCTACTGGTCTCAAATTCCTGGTTCGAATGATCCTCCTACCTTGGCCTACCCAAATCCTGGGACTATAGGCATGTGCCACCATGCCTGGCCTTAAATACCATTCTAACTCTCTCATACGTTATGAATGAAATTCATAAATATGTATGTGCAAATATATACTTACATAGGCGAATGATACTTAACTCTAGCCATAGAAGGCATCAGACAAGCATAATAGCTAACTTAAATCTAGCTTTAGAATGTGTCAGACACTATTTTAACTGCTCTACAGTGGATCATCTCTTTAATCGTCTTAATAACCTATAAGACACCTGCTGTTATCTCCACTGTATAGCAGATGGAACAACTTGCCCACAGGGTTAGTTCCTGTAAACTGGTGGTTCAACTTCCGACTCTCAATTCACGTGCATATTCATATGGCAACTATATTAGTTTTAAAGTTAGGTCTTATCCTTATTCTGGAGAAAATTACTTGCAAGGTTGTTTCACGTATGTGGTGAATACTCATTTGGTTTTCATCTTGACGTTGTATCCTTTCAGCTTACGGTCTTTAGATATGAGCAACAATGACATTCAGTATCTGCCGGGTCCTGTACACTGGAAATCTCTGAACTTAAGGGAACTCTTATTTAGCTATAATCAGATCAGCATCTTGGACCTGAGTGAAAAAGCACACGCATGGTCTAGAGTAGAGAAACTCCATCTTTCTCATAATAAACTGAAAGAGGTGAGACGTCGTCTTTAAAATTATTGCTAGTTTGTAAATCTGCTTCGTAATGTGCTTTATCACACGTTATCATTTAAAAAATCTGTTATTTTCTCTTTCTTGCTTTTTGAATAAGATGTTAGCCTATCCTGTGGTGAGTGGGTATAGTAAGAGCTTAATTTCCTTAAAAAGTCACTTCTGTGCTATATGTTTGAAGACTCCCATGTGTATATATGTACCTGTTTAATTGTGATTGTCTGCTTTCAGGGTGTCGTGGTATCACTGAATCTCTGATCTGTTGGCAGGCTCAGATGTTCTGTATTTCTCGAGCTGTTGCTGGTTCTCACGCTGCATCATTTTTTCAGCGGTCTTTCCCACACGCTTTCGCTTCTGTGTTCCTTTACCATGCTCGCCTTCACCCTGACGGAGCAGCCTTCTTTGCTTTGCTCCATTCTCTCTCTCTTACAAATCTCAGATTGATTATCCGTTTTTCTCAGAAAATACTTTTTTCCAAGTTCAAGACTGTTGCTTATAAAACCTCAAAACAATTAAGTATCTGATACTGTGAAGTTCAGAAAAACTGTAAACATTTTTTGTATCTGATGTGTTGCTGCCAAATGAATGGTTTCTATTATAAATGTAATATATATTGCTTAAAAACTTGGGAGAGAAAAAAAAAAATCAGTGTAATTAAGATGCCCCCCCCCCCAAAATAGAAACATTTAGTTATATTTTGAGAACACAAAGTTGCATGTAAGTTTGGCTTCCCTGAAGAACCCTGGCAGTGTGAGGGAACAGAATCAAGCCACAGATGATGGGTAACTATTAATAGCGTCTTACTTTTAATGTCAGGAGGAAATCAAGTATTTTATCTGGGGATATATAATTTTTAAATATTATAAGTGACTGGCATAGATTGTTTGGGGGTGGGTTCTTTATATGTGTGTTTTTATATGTTTAAATACATCTTGAAAACTTATGACAAGTCTTTGGGAAATCTTAGGGCCTGTCGCAAGGTTGTGCGAGTAACGATGGAATCTGCGAGCATTTCCTGTTTCCCACCATCATCCTGTTTCTTGGCAGCTGCAGTTCTTCCTCCCACCAACAGGTTGTGCCCTTTTCTGTTTCATTAAGATTCCTCCTGAGATTGGCTGTCTTGAAAATCTGACATCTCTCGATGTTAGTTACAACCTGGAACTGAGATCCTTTCCCAACGAAATGGGAAAATTGAGCAAAATATGGGATCTTCCTCTGGATGAACTGCGTCTTAATTTTGACTTTAAACATGTAGGATGCAAAGCCAAAGACATCATAAGGTTAGATCATTATATTTCCATTTGTCTTGATTCAATTTGTTTCATATTTCATCTGTTACTTTGATGGATATATAGTTATAATTTAGAGAAAATAGAAATGGTCTTATTTAACATTTGTAGCCAATATGTTATTTGCCTTTCTGTTAATGCGTGTGTTTCTATGGTGCCACTGCAAAAGGTTTTCATTCCTCTAAGCCAGCAGTTCTCCACCTGAGGGTCGTGAACTGTATTAAAGGGCCACAACACTAGGAAGGTTGAGCACCACTGCAAGCCAAGCTAATGCTGGGAGAATGACTTCTCCTCTGTATCATTCTTTTAAAATGAAATTGTATCACCTTTGGCGTCCTGTTACCAATTACACAGCCTAAAGAGATGCTTCCAGAGTATAACTTTTTACACTACATTTTTAGAGCAAATAGTTAACAAATATCTGTCATGTCTTAAAGCATTATAGTTAGTGCCATGATAGGAAATTATTAACTTTGATTGCCTATGAGCATAAGTAACCTACTCACCTTGGTCATTTTGAAACCAGCAAATCAATGTTTTCTGGTCTTTCCACTTTAAGAACTTCAAATCTAATGGATTTGGTCCCATTTTGGTTCCCTTTCAGCATGTTCGTCTTATTATTGCCTACTCACAAAATCCTTTACTCCCTTTCCACAAAGATGCTCTACTTACCTTGCCCACAGCTCACTTATCACTTCTCAATGAGCCCTTGACTTGACTGGAATGTCCACCAAGGCAGGGATTGTGGCTGTGTTCACTCCCTAGTGGATTCCAAGGCAGGGATTGTGGCTGTGTTCACTCCCTAGTGGATTCCAAGGCAGGGAT